GCTCATCCCCCATCTCAGAGGAGGGTCCCACAGGCCAGATACCAGAGAAATCTCACAAGAATGGCTCCAACCAGCTTGTGGTTTGTCTGGTTCTCTGATGGGGAGGTGGGTTGAGACGATAAATCTAGTTCTTCAAGTGTTATGAACTGGATTGAGCTGGATTTGGGGGACAGTTTGGTAAGAAAGGGCTGCTGATCAAATAATGAAGTGACACTCACTAGAGCCACAAGYAGCAGAATCAACAGGAAGGAGCAAGCCTTTCTTCCTCTACCCTTCTTCCAGGTCCTGACTCTAGAACCCCTTATTGACAGAAGCTCACGAGGAGTAGCTGCCACCAGAGATTTGTGATTTACAAAGCTGCAGCTCCAGCAGCACAAGGCAGAGTGTAGAAAGGTAAGTTTGTCATCGTGGAAAACAGTATGAAGCTTCCTCAAAAAACTAGAAATAGAACTACTATATGATGCAGCTGTCCCCACTAGTGAGTATGTAACCGAAGGAAATGAAATCAGTTTGTTGAAGAGACATCTGTASTCCCATGTTGACTATAGCAATATTTACAATACCTAAGAAATGGAAGCAACCTAAGAGTTCAATAACTGATGAATAAAGAAAATGTGGTACACATGCACATGGAATACTCTTCTGTCATTAAAAAGGTGTAATTATGCCATTTGCAGCAACATGGATGAATCTAAAGGAAATTGTGTTGGCTTTACATATAAGTCAGACACAGAAAGACAAATACTGCATGTTCTCACTTATATGTAGAAGCCAAAAGGTTGATCTCAAAGAAGTAGAGAATAGAACAGTGGTTACCAGAGTCTAGGAAGGGTGTGAGGAGAAAGGGACAGGGAAAGGWTGGCCAATGGTACAAGGGTGCAGTTAGATAGAAGGAATTATTTCTGATGTTTGTAGTTGGTTACAAAATGTAATAGTGAGAGGAGCTATTCCTAGTTCTACCCCTTAATTCCTGAACCTATATCTCTTATAGGAGAGATACACTATCTGTGTGTGTTGGTCAGCTTTCTGTTGTTGTGATAAAAACCTGAGAAAAACAACTGAATTGAGGAAAGGTTTATTTTGGCTCATAGTTTCAAAGGCTTCTGTCTTTGGTCATTTGACTCCACTGTTTCTGAACCTGTGGTGAGGGAGAACAGCATGGTGAGTAGGGTGCAGCAGAGCAACATGGCAGCCAGGAGACAGAAGGGAGGGCAGGGAAATAAACCCCATAAAGGCGCATTCCCAGTGATCTATCTCTTCCACTTGACTCCACCCCTTAAAGTTTCCACCTCTCCCACCATTGCCCCCACTAGAGGGGGACCAAGTCAGCAATACATGAAGCTTAAGGGAACGTTCCAAATCCAATCCATAACAATTGGTCTCTGATTCAAAGCTTATATTCATCTTGCAGAACGAACCTCCATACTTTCAGAGCACCATCTCCCAATTGGCACTGTAAATGACATATACATAGCAGAGGTGAGTGCCCTCTGACTTCTCATAGTGTTTATCTCCCATCTGCAGTTTGTTTACAAAGCTTGATTAAACATTTCTCATTTGCTACTTCCAGTGCAACTACTTGCTACTCCTTGCTCATGCAATCCAATTTCAGGACTTTCATAGTGCAATGTCATCAATGTAGTGGGCCAGTGTGATATTCTGCAAAATGTCAAGATGTTCAAAATTTCTGAAGACTGTATTATGGCTGAGCTAGTAAGCTGCCATACACATGGAGCAAGACCAAAGGCATACTATTGATCCTGTCAAGGAAAAGGAAAGTTCTTTTGGTGGTCCTTGCAAATTGGTAGAGGGAGAGGTAGCATTTTCCATACCAGGTTGATTTGTTCTAGCAAAGGTATTACACTTGGAAAAACTACCAATAAACCACCTCTAATTAATGTTGAAATAATCCAGTCCTATTTTTTTTATTGGTTGTTCACAACATTACAAAGCTCTTGACATATCATATTTCATACATTAGATTGAAGTGGGTTATGAACTCCCAATTTTCACCCCAAATGCAGATTGCAGAATCACGTCGGTTACACATCCACAATTTTACATAATGCCCTATTAGTAACTGTTGTATTCTGCTACCTTTCCTATCCCCTACTATYCCCCCTCCCCTTCCCTCACATCTTCTCTCTCTACCCCATCTACTGTAATTCATTTCTCTAATCCAGTCCTATTTTAAGGTCCATCTGCTTTCTGCCCAGGCCCAATAAGTGAAGACATAATAGGAATCAACACTTCCGCCTCATTCAAGTATGTGATAACCATAGTAATCCTGGCAATTACTCCATTGTGTCTATCTTTTGTCACTATCTGGCAGGATGGAGAAATCAACAGTTCCCACTTAACTTTCTCTACCCTAATGACCCTTGGTCCATAAATGAGAGCCAATATGGGAACACAACCAGCTGTTAACTAGTATGTATTCTGGAACTGGGGGAAAACAAGGGATGAGCTCACAAAACTACTGAGCCTATTAGATTGAAACTTGACCTATAATGCAGTTGATTTGTCACTTGATCATCATAACTCCCCCCCCCCCACACACACACACACTTCAATAGGAGACTAGTTAATTGAGTCAAAGTAACAAACTTAAATGTGGACTAGTGGTATTTTGGGAATCTAGTTAGCAATGGCAGGGGTAGGGGGATAGTAAGTAAGCATTATTTAAATTTTGGGAGGTGGATAATTATTTCATGACGTTCTAAGAGAAAACTTCCATGATCCTCTAATCAGGGAATATTTGGATGGAAATGTTTAAGAAATAAAGATGTAAGTAACATCACATACTAAGAACTTGGGAATGAATTGAGATGCATTGTGGTTGGTCAGGACTTTCATAGTATTTAACTGGTGTAAGCAATCCTTTTTGTTTTTTAATTTACATCTAAACTAATAAGAATTCTTAATGGAAATTATACTACAATAAAATGTTTCAAACTATTCTTTCTACTTGCAYATGAAAAACTATTAAGCTTGTCAAATCACAACCACCTTGCTTTACCTAGATGCAAACATAAAATACAAGCTCCTAACTCTGCACAAATAAAGAGAAAGAGGAGAATAATTCTGCCTTTCAAACTTCAGTTTTTCTGTGGGAATGAGAAGAGGCCAAAAGGCTGTAAAAATGTTGGGAATCTRACCAAATCCTGTTTAAACATAACTGCAAATTATTTTGGATTATTCATAAGAGATAATGGTCTTCAGAAACATTATTTATTAGGTTGGTAAAGTTTCAATGTTCCCAAGTGTTATGCCCAATAAAGTTAGTAACTACTCTTTAAAGCAAAGGTTCTCAACATTTTTACCCAAAACTACAAGATGGGTTATAATCTCATATGTATAGTACCAGGGCTCCCTTCACCAAATTTTAGAGAGAAAGTCGTGATTCGGATTTTAGTGGAGGTAACAAAACGGTACCATTCACTAAAGAACTATAGTACAAGGACATGAAATATTTTAAAATATATCTTTAAAGGTAATTTTACAGAAAAATATGTAATTAATCAGTTTCAAAATACTAATGATTTTAATATTTTAATAACTACTGCATAAATGTTTTCCTAGCTCTTCAGTTCTAGTTCAGACTATTAACAGATGATCAATGCTGAATGAGTATAGATAATTTTGTTAGAATGAAAGCCTAAAACATATGCATTTAGCATATTGAAATGGACACTTCCAAAGTATCCTTGACCTCAACTGAAAATAACATTTCTGTAGGAATTACAATTCTCACATATAAGAAATGTCAGTTTAGCTATTAATAGCTATTCATGATGTACTTTGTACCTCATCATGATGCTCTGAAGGTAGATTAAGAACCACTGCTCTAAGGTGACATCAAGGCCAAGTCAGGAGCTGTTGATCAGATTTCACTTTTCCAATAATTTTATACATTCAATCTTACAATGCAAAAACATTTGAATCTTTGTACACTTTGAACAATACAATCTTATTTTGGGATTCTTGCTGTTGAAGTTGACATTTACATCTAAAAGAAAATTATCAACCCACAGGACAAATGGAACTCAAAGAAGGTAAAGGGACTTTTTTCCCCTAGCAACTTATAATTGAGAGGTTCTTAAGGAAATGTGAATGAAATTATCTTCAACCAGGAATCCTATACTTTGCTAGATTATCAGTGCAACAAATATGACAGAGACACACTGCCAATCAAACACTGGGCTGGGGATATAGCTCAGTAGGTAGAGCACTCACCTAGTATGTGCACAGCTCTGGGTTCAATCCCCAGCACTGCAAATTAAAAAAAATCAAAATATATATTTCCTATATACTCTGTGCTCCTTTAGGGTAAAAATATGGATGAATAAAACGAAGAATGTAGGCAAAGAACGTGACAAAATCCTCTGGATAAAGGCAAAGAATACTTAGGTGACAAGGAAATGCTCAAGAGAATACTTTGCACATTGGTACCTGAGTAATCCAGGGGAAAAGAATGACCTGGTAATAACCATATGGAAAACTATACTGTGAAGTCCTTTACATTGTTAATGGCAAATACTGCAAAATTAAGTCAGATGCCAAAAAAAAAAAAAAATGAGGACATTAACGTCAGAAATAATGGTATAATAAACAAATGTAATCATAGCATACCACTTAGTTCAGAAGAGAACATTTTTGAAAAGTCTGTTAACTCTAGTTGTTAATAATACAAACATGGAATTTGTGATGTACAAAAACTAAAATATATGTGTCAGAAAAATGGGAGAGAAGTCAAAGTAACACAATCTCCATTCTTTGTAGTAGTAGGTCAAATAAAGAATGGATAGAAGGTAGCAATATCCATATAATTTGGAAATGTGAACTCTATAAAGTTGAAAGAGGAAATTTCCTCTGTATATCTGAGGCACTGCCTCTTTTTTGTCACAAGCCTTTTAGAACTGTTTGATTTTTTTTAAACATTTATTTTTTAGAAGTAGTTGGACATAATAACTTTATTTTTATGTGGTGCTGAGGATCAAACCCAGGGCCTCAGATGTGCTAGACGAGCGTTCYACCACTGAACCACAATCCCAGCCCCAAACTGTTTGATTTTAAAACCTATTTGCATATAACATTTGGGAGAGATAGGAAACAATAATTTTACAATGAAAAATCTCTATCAAAACCCTGAAAAAAGTGCACTCTATCATACCTAAACCTAACTACTCTATTTTATAAGTTATTTTAGGAAAAAGCATATGGGTCATTATTCATTTATAAAAATAAGTTTAATCTTTAATCATAAATATAGTCTTTAAAGTAAATTAATTTTTCACACRTGAATGTCTTTAAAAGTATCCAAAGAATTCATTATCCTTCTGCATTCTGCTTCTCAGAAAGTACTTTGGAGGTAGATCTGTTCCGGATTCTTATTCTTTTTCTTTTCTTTTTAGAAGCAGGCGATTTTGTGTCCTCTGTTTTTTTCTTTTTCTTCAAACAGCTAAGAGGATTGGGGCCACTTATTTTCTTGCGCTTTTTTCTTCTTCTCTGTTCAGGATTTTTCACTAACCCCTGTTCCTGTTTGAGTTGCTTGATACTTTCTTTCTCATGCACTGAGACAAGCTGACCTGACTCTACCGCTTTAACAAAGGCGATTGTTTTGGGAGAAGGTTTGTCCAAGACTATAGTGTTTTGAATGATAAACATTAGAGGAATCCCAGGCTTTTTCTTTACTTTCACAGATAAATTCTGGTCCTATTAAAAAGAAAAATAGAATTATTTAATTCAAATATGTCAATTAAGGTAACTTATATACGCTYGTAAGAACTTAATGAGGGGTGCACTAAAAATAAAACATAAATTATATTTTTTAAATAAGTATGTCTCACTAAGGGTATATTTTATAATAAAGGAAGGAAAACACAAACTGAGATCAAGCAGTGTAAGTAGCAGAAGTMTGAACTGGATTTGTCAATAGTCAAGGGTGAAGGAAGGAAGGAAGAAAAGTGCTAAGAGAAACAGAAATTAAGACTTGGATTCTAGATTCAGCTTTGCCTCTATGTAAGTTTATAATTCTGGAAGAAAATATTTAARCAAATCAGTGTGCATATGAACTTCTTGACCATCTTCCCTTGAAGAACCCTAAAACAAATCACACATTTCTATATCAATAAGTCCTCATTCTCAAAAAAGAAACTTTTGTGATAAGAGCAAATYCAATATACTGCAGGTTCTTGCATAGCCTCAAATGACAATTCCTTTTATTGACTGAAAATTAAGATCTATATTTTTTAAATCACTTTCAGCAAATTTTTTCTGATTACAAAAAGCTCCATATACTTAAAAATACAGAAATAGTTAAAATTGATTTGTGGTTCAAAAATACCTGTGTTGCCACAAAATAATGATGAGGATTTCCCTCTTCAACCATGGAAAGCAGACATTCTGATCCACTCACTGCATTCTTGAAATGGGGACAATTTCGAACTTGGCATTTCTGTGCAATCAGTTTTGCCCCATATAAATCCTTTCCCAATGTTTCTAATTCCTTTAACACACATCTGAAAAAAAACAAGAAAAAAATGCTATTAGTAGCCCACAATTGTAACAAAGATATTTCTTTAAAAAAAAAAAAAAAAGAAGTATAAAACACAATACTGAAGTTTTTAAAATGTAAAACTATACCATTATGATTTGAAATTGTCAWAAGGTAGCTATTTTAATCTTAAAAGACTTTGAAAATGCATGGACCAAGCAGAAAGAATATAATTGCTAAAATTTACTTAGTACTTATTATGTGCCTGACAGCATGCACATTGCTTTTTTTTTCCTTTTTTGCAGTGCTGGAAATCAAACTTAGGGCCTTGTCCATGCTAGGCAATCACTGTACCTCTGAACTATATCTTCAGCCCATTCAAATTGTTCTTCACATAAATTCTTGCTTTATCTCAAAATAACTTATGAAGTTACTTTAAAATTATTCTTATTTTAGAGCACCCCATTCTGAGAGATTTCAATTAACACACTCCAATTCAAGCAACTGTGGAAAAGCCAAGACATAAATCCAAAGTTTGACAACAGATCCCTTGCTCGCCACCAGTGGACAGGCTTCTAATTCAAGTGCAAATGTGTATACTCTCAAAATTTGTATATTTTCAACTCAGAAAAGTAAAAATTCTCAAGTCATGAGGATGTTTAAAATCATAATCTCTTTTCAATCTTCATTTTCATATTAATATAAGTCAATGTTTCTCAAAGTCTCATGTATAAACTACCCAAATTGGAATGACACAGTGATATTAATTTTTTTTTTAAATTTCTAGTTCCTCTCTCATCCCCTAGTCTGCATCTCTTATAGAAGAACCAAGTACAGTCATCCTTCATATCTTTGTGGGATTGGTTCTAGGATCCCCACTGATACCAAAATCTGGGAATACTCATCTCTTCTATAAAATGGCACAGTCTTTGCATATAATCTAAACACATCTTCCTGTATACCTTAAACCATTTCTAGAGACTTCTAACACCTAACATAAGGTAAATGCTACATAGGGTTGTTATAGTACATTGTTTAGGGAATAATACAAAAAAAAAAAAAAAGACTCTACACATTTGTTACAGATGCAATTTTTTCGTCAAAATGTTTTCTAAGGTTCCTTGAATCTACAGATGCGCACTCATAGTTATGGAGACCCACTTGTATTAGCATTTTAATAAGAAAGGCTATTCAGGCACTTGTTCCCACTAACAAAAAAAGAGAGAGAGAACACCAATGAGCCAGAGATTTCCTCAACCCTACCCAGTCCTTGCCAGACTTTTCCTTGCTTCATCTCCTCTATCATCTCATTAGTTTCATTTTGTTTTTTAAGAAAGATGATTTAATTTTTTTCAGTAATCAGTTTTTTTTTAAGAGAGAGTGAGAGAGGAGAGAGTGAGAGAGAGAGAGAGAGAGAGAGAGAGAGAACTTTATTAATATTTATTTTTTAATTCTCGGCGGACACAACATCTTTGTTGGTATGTGGTGCTGAGGATCGAACCCGGGCCGCACGCATGCCAGGCGAGCGCGCTACCGCTGAGCCACATCCCCAGCCCCAGTAATCAGTTTTTGACCTGTTTCAGGAATTGCAGACTTATTGAATATTTCCTGGTTGTCCTTCTATCAGCTCTTTAAATCYACCATGTCTAAAATCAAACTACTTTCCTAATTGCAAATTTCTCCTCTAAGATTTAGTAWCCTTTTGGAATCATTATTTTTTCAGACACCTTAGGCAGAAATCTAAAATCATAACTGACCCTTCTTCCTCATTCCTACCCATATCCCATCAGTGGCTGGTTAGTCCTACCTATTTCAGCAGTCTCCTTACAAAAATTTTGGGTGATGCCTTTCATCTCCCAGGTTTAAGCTTGCACTATTTCTTTTTTCCTTTTCCTTTTCTTATCCTTTTTTTTGGAGACAGGGTGTTGCTAAGTTGCTGAGGCTGACCTCAAACTTGCTATCCTCCTTCCTCAGCCTCCAATGCTGCTGAGATTGCAGGTGTGCAGGTGGACTGCTTGTCTAGCAAGTGCATGCCCCAGTATCTCAGAAACATGTCAAAAATAAAAAATGGGAAGGATAAACTGTTATAATTTTGAAAATCTTACAGAGTTGCAGAATGAAAGCTATTTATATATCTTGTTTGGATCCTGTGGGAGACCAATCTTACACGTGACTGGGTCACACTCCCCGGCTGGGTGCTGAGGCGCTCAGTCACAGAAACGAGGCAGAGCTTTCCCCAACCTTCTTTGGTTCGAGGGTGGGTGTATGGGTGTGTCTTGCTACAGCCTCATGGGTGAAGCTGTGCTCACTTGTTCCTTTGTAATACAATTCCTTGCCCTGTTTAGGATAGAATCTTCCATGGAAGTGCCTTGTGTGTGTCCCCTTCTCTTACTGTGTCCTTGGGTGTGGCCTACCCAGGTGTCAGTCAACCTGCTGACAGTGGACATCATGAAGATAGACTCAGCCTCCTGAAACCTGACCCCTTGCCTCATTTGAATAGCTTCTCCTCAATAAAAGGTGTCAGTGCATGCTCTTGCTCTCTCTCTTTCTGAGGACCCTTAAGGTCAGAAGAGCTGTCACAGCAACCCCAAAGAAAAAGGTATTTGTGTCTCTTGTGTGGTTATTTTGTGCAGCCCAGTTAGCCCAGTTTTAACTGGAGTGACCCCTGAGCCTTTTAGTTGGGAGAACAGAAACCCAGCAGGATCCTAGGGTTTTTTTTTTTTTTTTTTTTTGAAATGGGGATTGAACCCACAGGCATTTAACCAGTAAGTCACATCCCCAGCACCCCCGCCTTTTTAAGAATACTTTATTTATAGACAGAGTCTCCCTGAGTTACTTAAGGCCTTGCTAAATTGCCCAGGTTGGCTTTGAACTTGCAATCCTCCTGCCTCAGCCTCCTGAGCTGCTGGGATTTTTTTTTCAGGCATGCACTACCATGCCCAGCTGGATCCTTATTTTAAAAAGACTTCTTTATCTCTTCATGATACAAGCCCAATAATAATAGTTAATAAATAAAAAAAAAACCATCAATAAAGGGGGAGTCGAGAGTGTGAACAAGAYTGGCCATGTTGATGACTGCAAAAGCTAGGTGAGTTTCATTACATTATTCTACTTTTGTGTTGCTGAAAATTTCCAGAAGTTAAATTCTTGAAAAAAGAAATGCTGTAGACTACATATGTTCATGCAGAACTTCTCAACCTTTTTAAATTTCTTGGTACTATGCTATTAAAATGGTAATATTTCTAGCTGGGCATGGTGGTGCATGTCTATAATGTAGCAACTCAGGAGGCTAAGGGAGAAGGCTCTCAAATCCAAAGCCAGGCTGAGCAACTCAGTGAGATCCTGTCTCAAAATAAAAAAGGCTGAGGATGTGGCTCAGTGGTTAAGTGCTTCTGGGTTCAATCCCCGGTGCCCAAAACAATTTTTTAAAGGGTAATATTTCTGTGGTACAAGAGACTAAGTGGACAAAATGCTTATAGCCTGAAGCGACGAATTCAAAGGCCCAGGCTATTGAAGACATTGTCTGGCAGCACTGAAGACTAAGGGCATCAAAAATTTGAGGGTATCTGCAACCCAGTTCAGGCGCTGCTTGAGAAATTCCACCTGTGGAAACCTGTCCATGAAATAGTGTGATGTGAATAAAGCAGACAAAAAATACAGTGTACACAGTTAAGAGCTGTGTTTGTGTGTACACATGTGTAAAGAACTAGATAGACGACACACGTTAACCAGCTATGCAAATACCAGCAACCATTTAAAGGAGTTTTTTTGTGTGTGTGCTGAAAAATGCTCTACATGACATTAAGACAATCTTATAAGTATTTATAATCTCTATTTTTGCTTCTGAGCAATTTGAGATTGAGAGACTAAGTAACCCTGCCGAAATCACAGAGCTGGTAAGAGGGGGGCCGAGATTCGACGCCAGGTCTCCCTGACAGCCAAACACTAGTTCTTATTCGCCAGGCTAGCCACACCTGATATTCGCAGGGTACTGCACAACTGCCTACTACGAAGATTTTAGACCAACTGCCAGGGGGCCTCCACTTAACACCAACTCCTCGTGGGCCCCGTTTTACACCTCGAGGGTTCACAACGCAGGCCTCTAGCACATCCCCCAACCCCTGCGCCTCCTCGCCGGGCCCACCTGGTGGTGCACAGCTGCGTCTCCCCCATAAGGTAGCGGGGCAGCTGCTCCCGCAGCTGGATGCGGCCCCGCAGCGCTGCCTGACAGAAGGTGCCGTCTAGCAGGATCTGGTACGGCTCGCGGACTCCGAAATTGTTGCGGAAGAAGCCAAGATGCTTCTTGGCGTGTTTCTGCCTGGTAATCTTCATGGCTGGCTTACTCCGACCGAGGCCACCAGGCCGAACACCGTAGCACAAGCCTTACGCACGGCTGGGTCCCGCAGTGCCGGCTCCTCCCGGAAATGAAGGACCTATGGCCCCGGAAGCAATCGCCCGGGTTTTTCCCCCCACCGGCCTTCTAGCTTACGTCACTCACAGACTCTCGGTCGCTTGGAGCGTCGTGCCCGCGCTTTAAGGGGCGGGCTCTCGGGGGCGGGGCCCGGGCCGGCGCGGGAAAATCGCTGGAGCGCGCGATTCCTGGCCGGGGCGCACCTTGACTTCGGCCTGATAGTGATCTCGCCTCCTTTAAGTCATTCTTTTGCACGTAGCAAGCCTCCAAAGACTGGCAGTATAAAAATAGTAAGTGATATGTTGAGCCCAAATATGTTCCAGAAACTTGTGAACTACACCGGGCTAATAACAGGAACTGGTTGAAGGTTTAGAAATTATTTGGTCAATTTGATTAATAAAGAAAGTGAATCAGAAAACTTCAAGTTCCCCAGTGGATATCTGCTGAGTATCCACTTCAAAGCAAAATAATCAAAGGAAAGGGAGTATGGAATGTGTCCTTATTACTGCCCTTCATGTTTATAATTCCCAAGTGAGAAAAGGAAAGAAGCTAATATTGGCAGGGCAGATGGGTGCATGCCTGTAATCCCAGTGACTTTGGAGGCTGGAGCAGGAGGATCACAAGTTCAAGGCCAGCCTCCGCCATTTAGCGAGGTCCTAAGCAACTTAGTGAGACTCTCCTTTCATGATTAAAAAAAAAAAAAAGTCTGTGGATGTGGCTCAGTGGTAGAGTGCCCTGGATTCCATCCCCAGTACCACAAGAACAACAAAAAAGTCAGTATTGGACAGCCATGGCCTGGGAGGTTTGTAGTGACTGCTTTCCTGTAAAAAAGTTAAGCACAATGCCAGAAGCCGTGTTGTACACCTGTAATCCCAGTGGCTTGGGAGGCTGAGGCAGATGTATCAGGAGTTCAAAGCTAGCTTCAGCAAAAGCGAGACTCTAAGAACTCAGTGTGACCCTGGTGTGTGGCTCAGTGTTCGAATGCCCCTGGGTTCAATCCTCAGTACAAAAAAAAAAAAAGAGTTAAGCTCAGATACTAAGGGCATGTGGTTCCTGGGTGTGGAGGTCGCCAGCTTGAAGTTCACACATTCTTACTATACCCTATAGAAGTTAATCCCACTCAGGAGCCATATGTTAGAGTAAAGGGTCCCACTGTTTTGCATCTCCTCCTCCCCTTAAGACCATTTTTAATCACTCATAGGGAGTGTCCTGGAAGAACTTTCTTTGTGGGGAGAGGATTACAGGGGATTGAACCCAAGGTTGCTCTATCACTGAACTATATCCCATCCCTTTTGTACTTTATATTTTAAGACAGGTTCTTGCTAAGTTGCACAGGCTGGCTTTGAACTTAGAATCCTCGTGCTGCAGTGTCTGGGGTCACAAGGTGCAGTATTGCCAGGCCTTAGTTCCATTTTAAGGACACTTTCATGTCCATAGTTTCTGACAGGGGAAATCTGTACACCGGGCTAATAACAGGAAGGTACAGAACTGGTTGAAGATTTAGAAATTATTTGGTCAATTTGATTAGTAAAAAAATGTGAATCAGAAAACTTCAAGTTCCCCAGTGGATATCTGCTAAGTATCCACTTCAAGGCAAAATAATCAAAGGAAAGGGAGTATGGAATTTTTCATTTTTGTCCTAGCCTGGAATTTGTCCCAGTTCCAGTTTTGGCTGAAGATTGAAAGAACTGTTACAGAAAAATGATTTACAATGTAATTGAAATGTATTGTTTGCATTTGGGTTTTTATTTCAATATATAGGTTTATGAAATTGGAACTAAGATTTTCTATAAAGTTAGTCCTGACCTGAGTCCCAACCCATCACTTAGATGGCTGCTTTCATTGAACTGAAAATAAATTTAGGAACTGGAAGCCATGAAAAATCAGTGTAGGATTGGATTCGTGGTCCTTAAGTATAATTGCCCACTATGTTCTGATTTGAATCCTCTCTTCATCACTGTATGCCAACTCCTCCTCCCACTATCCTCCCTCTACAAACAGAGAAATGATACCCACTCCAGCCTGAAAAACAAACAGTTAAAACCTTTTTTAAAGTAGCCTCACAGATCTGTCTACCAGTTCCTTAGCTACTATTCAGTATGAAGAAAAATGTGGTATAACACTAGGGATTTGAGCCACATTCTATTTGTTGTTCTCATTTAAATTTACTAAACTACAGCATAATTTTTTCAAGCTTTGCATTTATGACAGTGCCAATTTGCAAAACTACCCTTCTGATGAAAATCTGAAGACAGCCTAGAGTGTTGATTATCAAATTGAAAATAAAATTTTATATTACTGCAGTGTTTCTTAAAACATGATCCCAGGACTTGCAGGAAAAGCTTTTATTGTGCATTTTTAGAATGCCCATTTCTGATTCAGAACAAGTGGTGAGGGAAAAGGGTACTACAATAGTCTACCTTCATCTGCAGGGGATACATTGCAAGACCCACAGTGGAGGCCTAAAATTGTGGATAGACCTAAAAACTACATACACTATGGTTTTTTCCCTATACCTGCATACATATGATAAAGTTTAATTTATAAACTCATCATACTAAGACATTAACAATAACTAATAATAAAATAGGACAATTGTAACATATGCTAATATATGTTATATGAATGTGATCTTTCTTCCAATATATCTTATTGTACCATAGAGCTTAGCAACCTCAGCATTAATTTTTTTTTGCATTAATGCCAGAGTTTTCTTCTACTAATGGGCAGGTGGTGCATACAGTATTGGAAAGGAAGTGACATTTATTAAAAATATCTTCCCAGGTCATTATTATGCTCATTAATGTTCCTCATGACCTTTTGAAGTAAAGTACCACTGTTTATCCAGTATGATATTTTTATTAAGTGATTCACTTAATACACTTTTGTCCAGATGCCAAATGTACTAGTAATGGCAAATCAATATTTGGCCACCACCAAGGCAGAAGTCAAATATTGCCATTATTGAATAAACTGTTTGGATATAAGTTTAAATGAAAAATTTTGAAAATTATTATAATATCATTATTAGATTTTTTTACATTATTTGCATTTATTTTATGCTGAATTTATTCCCATGCCATAAGTTTTTGTTTTAGTTTCTTTGGGGATATCTTTTTCTTCTGTGCAACCTCCTCTGTGGGTTTAGTAACAATTTGTTCCTTTCGGTGAAGATCATCTCAATGTGGTGGTGGGAACTCATGGATGGGTTAATGGGCTCTATAAGTATGGCAGCACATCTTAGGTGCTTTGTTCACCTGAATATGTTCAGTGACCAGAGAATCTACATCCAAACCCTGGGCACACCTCCCAACTCCACCACTGTAATGCCAGAATGGCACACATTGCTTCTTTAAATATATATCTATATCTATCTATGTATCTATGTATCTATCTATCTATATATATATATATATATATATATAATACTTTATTTTATTTATTTATTTTTATGTAGTGCTGAAAACTAAACACAGGGCCCTGCATGCATTAGGCGAGTGCTCCACCTCTGAGCCACAACCTCAGCCCACAAATTGCTTCTTTAAAGTGATATCTTTAACGTACTTTGTGGCTTTTCAGATATGCATACCCTTGATGGCCTGTGCAGTTTCATGTGTGTTCTTAGAGTAAACACACCAAGATTTGAACCTTTTGATTTGCATGATTTTTGTGGGGTTTTCCAGATCAAGAGAGTAGCATACCATTTTCACAGATCACCTCAGCTGCTTACAGGAAGAGCTATTAAAATCTTTAATGGTCATTATTTTGTTTAATCTTACAGTGCAGGAACAGTAATGTCTTAGTATTGCTAGCTGTTAGCTTTTTTCTCAGTGACCAGGTCACTATACTGGACATTTTCTATGCCAAATACACATTCACATTCAGCTGAGGTTGGTAGAGGATTCTTTTTTTTTAATTTATTTTCATGTTCTTTATTCTGTCTGGATCAAATATAATTTATAATGAGATGTTGTACATGATTTCAAGGATTTTTTTCTTCATGAAATTTTGATGAAGACAAACTGACATGAGAATGATTTATTCTTGAAAGGTGTGACTAATTCCCACATAGGACTTTTTCATGAAAGATTTATAGCCTAAGTGGAATTAAATGGGTAAACATTAAATACAATTTATAATGGTTATTCTATTTCATTTCATAAATGTAAGTATGGTTTTGTTCAGTTCCATAAGCATTAGAAAATTCATCTAAAATATCTATTGTAGTGTTATTCTGCCTTATACTCATATTTAAATATTTATAAATATTTGTTTACCTTCATCAGAAAGATTACTACACTTTTTATAAATTATCTAATTAACATTCTCTCTAAATAAACAACTTAGCTAAATATATATATATATATATATATATATATATATATATATATATATATATATATATATTAAAACAAGTTAGGGAAACTGCTTTGTACTGAAGTATGAAGCTCTTCACTGAGATCTCCTAGGATAGATTCCATTGTGGACTGCTTTACTGTGAAATTTCATATCTGTCAGAAAAGTTAGTAAAGTTAGATCTAAAGGCTATCACATTTTAATATTCTTAATTACAAAACAGGAAAAGTTCATCCTGTTATAAGTGGAAGAGTAAAAAGGCGTTCATTCCCTCTCCTCTTACCTATATGATACAAGTTAACAAACTACTGTGCATCCTTCTGCAGTGTTTCTATGGTCACACACTTATATCACATGCATACACATGCACGTCCATACATGAAGATACTCTTATGCAAATATGGAATCATATTCCATAACTTCTATACATTTTGCCTTTCTCACTTCACAGTCCTTGTAGAAATGCTCATACACACCTCCCCAAGGTCCATTGGCAGAGCTCTCATTCTCTATTTTTAATGATTACATGACAATATAATAAATATGATATAGAATGTGAATTTTTCCTATCTCCTCTTATCTTCTCTTCCTCATCCTTTTCTTCCTTCTATTCCTCTTCCGCTTTCCCTTTTCCTCTTACTCTTCC